CTAGATAACTCAATGAAGATTAGTGTGTCTGTCACAAATGTCAAACATTAAATCATGTTTATGTTGCATGTCGTGATGGTGGCGTTTTGTGTTTGTTTTATGGTGATAGATAATTGTTAAATATAGAGTGGCACGATGTTTTTTTTAGTCAGTACTAGAGAAACGGACTTTGATAGAACCCGATATGAATGTTCATATGCGACCAAATGATGTGGATGTCCGATCTTGTAGGTACTACAGTAAGCCATTAAATAATATTGCATCATGGGAGTTTGTGATATATTCTGGAGGACGTGGTTTCGACGTAGATGGCAGACTGTCAATTATACCAATTTTCAGGTGTCTACTAATCACACGTTTGCAAGTAATGTTAGAACAATGCACTGTGTCTTGTCATACAAATTAATTTATTGTGATCTATGGAATATGCATCATAAATGTCGGCCTACTGCAGTTAACGAGTGGGGAAACTTGCCAGTGAATGACATTCCCGATTTTTGTTTTGAACTGGATGCGCCTTCTAATTTATGTTGCTGGCTACGGATGTGTACTGCAGTGCAAGGGAATCCACCCAGATCACTTTTCTTCTACAAGTTACGAATATTGGACAGATAAACTCTGTAATTGATTGGTATCGTGTTCGACTGAGTGTGCAGTGTGTGTTCTATGACTACAGTGTTTCTAACTGCGTTCTATAATTACTGTCGTCATCACCATTAGCAGAGACTCGCAGAGACAGCGTCACCACGCAAAGACCCGTTTTCATCTAGTTTGAAGAAACTGTATGTAGGTAGTGCTGTGTCGGATCGGCAGTATATTATTTGCGTTCGTTGTCTGTTATGTAGGTTTGTCTCATAGTTTTATGCATGCATGCAAGATTCTATATTAGACAATTATTTACATTATCGATTTAGGAATTTCCTTGTAATAATATAACGTACAATGTAATCCACTACCCCTTATAGAGGGTTTGGCATTTCTTGCCCACTCTTTTGCTGTGAAATATTACAATATTATTAGTAAATTATTATTCTAGTATGTTTTGTGTAACAATACAACATGTATCCCACTACCCCTTGTAACGGGTTAGGCATTTCCTGCCCATCATTTAGGTGTGTGGAATAAAGTACGTTGTTGAAACCTTACTCGTGTAGTGTGTACTTGTTGTTTATGTTGCATATCCATTATACAACTGCCTAATTAGCACCCTGTGACAGAGTCTGTAAATGAACTGATTCATGTTCTTCTCACAGTTTCTTGGTAAATTGTGTTTTACCCGGTATGTGTGTTTTGCATATGGTGAAAATCATGCTCATTTCTGTTTACACAAAAGAACATTTCCAAAAACCCACTGCAATCTTTGTTGTTATTGTAAGGCTTGAACTTAACAGAGACATTGAAGGTAATTGCCTTGATATTAATGAATATGTAATATGGAATATGGAATTAGCCTTGGTGTCCTTTGATGTCCCCACTGTCGGCTGGCGTACAAGTGATAATAAATTAATTAATTACCCATATTTACTATATAGGGGCTGCCATCTTGGATACAACTAAAAAATTACTTGAAACTAAAGAAAGACACATGTTAAATAAATCAGGGGGAAAACATCATACTTTCACAGCTAAACGATATGCTTGAGCAACATTAAGTCAATGTGAAGCTGTGAAACTCTTATTTTTTCCCCTCGATTTGTAGGAAACTGAAAAATATGATTTATTTAGTTTCAAGCCATATTCAAGATGGCTACCCCCATAAAGTAAATACCCTATTGGCAGATTAATCAAATTTATTTTATTATCACTTGCGCGCACTATGAATGTCCCTATATTATTCTCTTATATGCTAAGGCCATTTTATCACTTTTGGCCTTGAAAGTGAGAACAGGTTGTAGGTTGTCAAATTATGTTAAACTGATTCAAAATTGAAAAAAAGATATTAGAGAAAAAAATAAGGTGAACAGAAAATGGTGATGGTGAAAACAAGAAACTTTCACTTCATTTGGAAGATTTAATCTCTTACACCATTAATAAGACAAAAAAATACCAACATAAAACATGCATTTTACACAGGGTGATGTTACCTTTTCTTTTCAGTATAATCACTTCTTTGACTGACAGCGCTACCTTCTCTACTTCCATCCTTCCCGGGTCGTACTATGCCCTCCTCTAAATAGAATGTCAACTCCCTTGAGATTGGTCGTGCTCGCCTCGCAACATCATCCAATTCTCCATCTGTATTTCTTATTAACTGCTCTTTTGATGAAGGACGGGAATCTAATTTTTTAGGGGAACTTAAATGGGTACCTGAGAATTCATCCTCTGGTAAAATCTGGGCATAATACAACTGGCCTTTGTCACCTTTGATCCATGTGGGTGTTTTGGAGTCAAATACTTGGTGGGCCATCATTTTACCATTGTCTTTGACTGCCTTCTGAGTTGCGGCTCTCTGCTGCCATTGGTAAAGGAATATCTGCCTCTCACACGACTTATGTCCCCATTCAGCAGCTATTGTTAGTGGTGAGCTTCCATCCTCATCAGGGTCATCTATCTTAGCGCCTCTGTTCAGTAAAATCTCCACACAGTTATTCTTACCCTGAGCGGCAGAAATGTGCAGTGCAGTACGACCTGAAGGAGTCTTATCAAGCACATTAGCACCTATAATGAATAACAGTGACATACATCAACCTACATGAAGTTTTACAGTTCACCTTAAGGATGTTGTAATACAATGGTCAAAACTGTCATTTTTACACTGGTTTTTAATGCTAAGATTTGATTTCTTCATATCTGGAAATTTTGCTCTGTGGGATAAAAAAGTTATATGTCAATGTATGAATCCCAATAATTCCAACAAGTTGACAAATAATTTAGTAAGTTACCTGGATTAAATACAATTATAGACATAATGCATTGCATATGTGCATCAACATGCTGAGTAGTGTGACATTTTAATTTGACTTGAACTGCCTTAATTTCTGAGTTTTACTGTGGTGGGTATCACTTACTGATTGAATTATTTACATTTTGATTGCATATTCCTAATTATGCACTAATTAACTCTAGACTATTGCCACAATGTCAATGAACTGACAGGTGATAACTCCTATGTCAAGAAAGTTCTCCCTTAAGCTTAAACATTTTCACAAAACTATTTCATTCCAATTTGTTCAGCTAATTTGGAAATTCATGCATTCAAATTCACCTGGCTAAACTTCTCAGTTGAAATGCAACATTTCTCAGTGCCTAGAGTGATCGAATGAGCACAGTTCGTCGGGCCTTCTGTTTTTTTTTCAAGCAAAGGCTTTGCTTAAAATGCCTTCAGCATTTCGCAAAAGAATTGCAGAATTATATTAAATCATTTCAGTTGAAAAATTCATTAGGCCAGAGGGACTGTCTACAGTCTAGTTATATCATGAATGTGATTATGTTTATGTTATTAGTTGGTACATACCTGCATCTATGAGCTGGGTAACTAAACGTGTATATCCCCTGTGGGCAGCAATTGTTAGTGCAATAAATGCTCTCTCTTCAATCCATGCTGCCCGTGCTCTTGGGTACATTTGCTGTGAATTGGGAGTGCTGTAGGTAGTATCTTGGGTTACTCCAAGGGCAAAGACCTAGAAGAGAAATAAAACAGGGTTAAATAATATTCAGTCAAGCACCACAAAGAATAGACTATTGGCTGTCCAATTGTTATTTATTGTCGTGGTGTCTTACATGTAACCCTGCAGCAAAGTCAACTTTCATCACAGAAAACAATATAAAACTCACAGCGTTTTTCATATTTTTTCTAAAATGTTGTTGAAGAATTGTAGGCAATGGGAAATAATGTTCATTTGGTTTAAAATTAACATTATGAAATACATGTATACATACATGTAAAAATGATGGCTCTCAAAGGATTAAATGAATATGTTTGCTGACAAAACTGTCTTAAGTCGTAAAAAACAAGCCATGCATGGCACACTCCCAGTTAGTTATCGAATTTAAGATACATAGTTTTGTTTATAGTAATATAGCTGGAATATAACCATGTCAGGAATATGATTATGATGATTGTTTAACATTAAAATGATTGACATTTGTATCTGATTGTCAAATGAGTACTTGTCCACATTGAGAGATATTGCTCTGGAACAGCATTCAAAATCAGTCATTTTGAATACATGTATATATATAACATGATGTATTAAGAATATATAAAATTTGAACATAATCAGTCAAGCAGCTCAGAGATATGGCTCTGAAAGCTCATTCATTAAAATAAAATGGCCACCAGTCAGCCATTTTGAATCCAATCTGAAAAATAAAATGACGTGCATCAGGAATCTGTAATGTCTAACGTATGTACCAAGTTTGAACAAAATCCATCCATAAATGCCAGAAATGCGTGATATTTGATGATTTTTTTACACAAAAATGGCCACCATTCGGCCATTTTTAATAGAATCGTCAAACCAATATATCTATATATCAATGACATGATGTATAATGAATATTTAAAATTAGAACATAATCAGTCACAGCATGTCAGAGATATGGCCCTAGAAGCCCATTCATTAAAACAAAATGGCCATTTTGAAACTTATCTGAAAAACAAAATTATGTGCATCAAGGTCCTATAATGTCCAATGTATATACCAAGTTTGAACAAAATCCATCTGTAAACAGCTGATAAATGCTTAATTTTGATGATTTTTCAAAACAAAAATGGCTGCCATTCGTCCATCTTGATGTGCATATGTATAATGTCATGTATGATGTACGTGTGAAGCCTGATTGTGATTGGTCCAGGCATGTCTAAGATACGCACGCATGCACAGAGGTGAAAACTTAAGTCCCCGTTTTCGAACTGCGTCCGAAAGGGGGACTAATTAGCGGGATGGTTACAAGATGGTTGGTCTGAGAAATGGCTATAACTCATTTAATATTTAAAAAAACATAATGTTATGCATATTGGGAAAAAGAATCAAGATTATGAGTCCTTATATGGATAGGGAATCATTGATTGTGACTGAGGTAGAGAAGTTTGAATATGGAAATACCCAAAGAACTCGTGTCAACATTCAGGCATATTATTCACAGACAGACTCAATGCTATGATTATATTTTTACCACAGAACTGATCATCCAAGTTAATAAAAAATATGAGTCTGGCATAGAATCCAGGGCTGCTTTTGTTTAATTTCAACACCAACACGATTATTTTCAGTACATGTATATGTATGGATTCAAAATGTGAAATTTACTTCATTTGCAAAACTGTGACTACATTTCAAACTATACAGCAATAAGGGTTTTAACTGTTCCAAATGATGATGTTTACTTTTAATTTGAGTAAACCTGACACATAACACTCACTTGACTGTGGATGGAACTATAGTACCTATTTGGTTTTTTCAATACCTTTTCTGAATCACCTTCTGCTGCAGCTTCCACCAAAGTTTTCCACATATTCCAGACATTTAAAAGAATTGTAGCACCAGGAACAATATCATGATATTTAATATCAGTTTCATCAGTCAAATCACCTGCAGCAAAATATATAAATCATATTTACAGTAATATGTAATATTTACAGTATTTAGTAATGATGAAATTAAATACTGCTGCATGTTTAGATCCTAAAACCATGTACCCCAGTTTATATGTGGACAATTATTATATTGTAAGATGCTTCTTATGCTTAGTATGTTTACTTGCTAAGTTAAGGTACAATATTGAAAAAAGATAATCATTGCAACATGCCTATAACATGCAACATAATTGGTCTTTTAAATCTTACTACATTGACCCCTTGCTATGTCGCTGCTGTTGGGATCCAGGAAACAACCATGACTTATTGGGGGTTGTGACTTACCGAGGGGGTTCATTCATTGAAAATGGATAAAAAACAAGATTGAGCTTCACATTGGGTCGAGACATCGTGTATAGCGTGTCTTTTTTGCCAATGCCAGAACTACCCCGAACTGGCCTTATTGATGTCATCATTGTCGGATATACTGCATTTGCTTGATTATTGTTGCATGTACTTATCTCATACTCACAGTGTACTAGTACCTTATGTAAATGATTGAGGTGTATCTACATTTACCGCTATAGTCAAACTAATTAAGTTATATTTTAATGATTCAGTGCACAAAAATGTTCAGTATCAAGCAATTGAGTGGCATCTGAATTTTATTATAGCTTGTGTGATGTCCAGACCATGCTAACTCAGAACTTGCACCTAGACGTGTGCAGTTTTCTTAGGAAAGGAAACAATTTAATAGATTAATGAAGGTAAAAATTGGTGAACAACAGAAACAGCAATAAATTATGGTCCGATAAATTATACTTTGTTAAGGAAATGTTACTCAGATTAGAGAAACTAAATATTAAAACACAGGGACTGTATGTTTATTTACATACTATTATTTTTATTATAAATCAGTTTACTTTTGAATAACATTGTAACACATTCAGTTATTGTGTCATCTTTGGGCCCATTGATAAATTGTCTATATTACCTTCATCTAAATATGTCAGTCTTTGTAAATGACTTGGTATCCCGGAAACAAACTCCACTGATTTCTTGAGTTCCCGTATTGACATGTCATGATGTATGTTTTTCAGATGAAATACCTCATTCGTGTAGGACTTTAATTTCAATGGGAACAATTTCACCTTCGTCTGCTCCTGCTTTTTGCTTTTTTTACTCGTCATGTTGAATTAAATTATACTGTTGAATACACGATCGTCAGCTAAGTCGCAAATACATATACGGGTTGGCTTTTAGTGAAGATCGTTTTGTAATCCAGGTCCAGGCACAGTGATCATCATGACCGCTATCAAACTCCTGCTGCAAAAATACTGTAACAATACGGACGGACTGTGGTTAACTTCCTTTGCATATTGACGTGTTCACGGTGACATTTCAAGATAATTTTGGCGTCACACAACTCGTGAAAATAATCGTGAAGCCATTTGTTTATAAGCTCCGCGGCAACAAAAATGCACTGAGACTGCGCAGTATAGATCTCCTTGCTCCAGACCGATTCATTTCTAAAAAATAAACATAGCTTTCAAACACACAGTATGAAGTTCTACAATATATATCAGAATAAATATATTAATTGCAATCAATATTTAAGATCAAATGTGAATAGTTTCTATATATTGCGCAAATAAATATATAGGTCATATCTGGCCAATCGGTGCTCAAGTTATTTCTGACCTCCGGTTGTCAGGTCACAGGTATCCCGGATGTTGAATGAAATACTCGTATTCGGTTCTTGTTGTCTGAACATCTGGGGAAAATGCTTTCGTGTGCGCTAAGGTCAACGCGTAATTTGTTGGTAAGTTATAAACATGTTCCTCGGTTGCTTTGAGTGATTTCGAAAGCTTGCAATTAAGTTCTTTCCAGTCAAACTTCCTGAAAATCACCATGAAAGCTGTACTGTACACTCAGATTGTCACCATTTAATCACACCATGGAACTACAAAATGGTTTGTAGTTTCATGATCACTCCATATATGATGTTTAATTGTTGCATTCATTTAATTATAATTTGACTCAATAATAAAATTAAACATTTTGTAGTTGCTTGAAGCAGTATGACTTTCCATCACTTTCAAAATCTCAGGTTTCTTAGTTTGAATACACTTTGTGTTATACATGCCGAAAGCAAATTGATGATCGAAATATACATGTGTCAAATTGTGCTTTAGCTTGTTGAAATTGAATCACGAACAAGGTTTGTAGGTTTATGTTTGAACCACATACGTGTATAACCTATAGCAATGACAAGATTGAGTAATGCTACCATCATCGCCTAACTGATAGTGATAAAACTTGTTAGCTTTGATTCTGCGAGTAAGTACATTGTATTTCAAGCCTCACTGTCATCAAAACTTTGCATGTGCATAAAGATGGCTCGCACAACAATGAAAGGTTACCTATTGATAGCTCCCAGTTCGCTGATTTCTCCTGAAAATAGTTGTTAAAGTACTTGCATGGTTATTACATTCAACAACATTTATATTCTGTACAGTGTAGGCCAATGCCAACCAGTAAACAGAAGAACAGTAACAGAACCGTATAATTCACACTTACGCATTGATGATGATAGTGTCACTTTAAGTGTGTCTTCTTTGGCAATTCAATATACTGTCATTTAGTTTTATATCTATCGCCATATGCTAGAGTAACTCTAATTGGATGCATGTTTTCAACACAACTAATCAAATCTATGTATTTTACCAAAGTCACATATGCGACTGCTCTGTAGAATTAATCTTGGGTACGTTTACACCAAGTCTGTGAAACCTTGCGACTCTGATAATGCCACCAGAAATTTTGGTCTCAAAATTGGATGCCCACAGAATATATATATATATATAT